GAATAGTTTTATTTGAGATATACAGAGTTATTCATCTAGATCTGCAGAAGTGATAGGTTTTTTGTATGGAAGGGTGTCAGGCTGTATAGACAATCCGTCGCACAGCCTGGTCGGGCTAATGTTCGCCCCTGTGTGCCACAGGCACTTGGGCCGTTTCAATAATAAAATGATGGTTAATAAGCCTACAACTTGTCAGTACTAGACTTGGCAGTATTCATAGTTTGATTTGACCTAATAACTTCACTTCAATACCGTCCAATACACCGCTGCAACACACGTTCCTATAGCGTGCACGCCATTGTGCACAAATACACAGTAGGATACACTCTATCTAGCTCTAGTACTATAGCCCGCGTTCATTAACTGCTGCAGGGCTATAGAACATTTTCAGCTCGATTTCGTAACTGCAACCTGTTACCACCTGTCCCCACGAAAAATGGATCGCAAAACGCAAAATGATCGGGTTTTTTAACACTTATTTATCTACATGGACATCTCACCTATCTTTTTGAACACTTTACACAACTTTACACCATGTATTTATCCTTTTATTCCACAAAGTAAGCACTACTGGCATTTCATTTTGAAACGAAGTGGCGTGCGCACGCGTGACGTTACCAGATATGTACGCAAAACACATGGCAGCTATGGGGCATGTATATACAATACCGGTGATGTCACACGTGCGCACGCCACTTCGTTTCAAAAAGTAATGCCAGTAGTGCTTACTTTGTGGAATAAAAGGATAAATACATGGTGTAAAGTTGTGTAAAGTGTTCAAAAAGATAGGTGAGATGTCCATGTAGATAAATAAGTGTTAAAAAGCCCGATCATTTTGCGTTTTGCGATCCATTTTTCGTGGGGACAGGTGGTAACAGGTTGCAGTTAGGAAATTGAGCTGAAAATGTTCTATTGCCCTGCGGCAGTTAATGAACGCGGGCTATAGTACTAGAGCTACACTCTATCCTACTGTGTATTTGTACACAATGGCGTGCACGCTATAGAAATGTGTGTTGCAGCGGTGTATTGGACGGTATTGAAGTGAAGTTATTAGGTCAAATCAAACTATGAATACTGCCAGATCTAGTACTGACAAGTTGTAGGCTTATTAACCATCATTTTATTATTGAAACGGCCCAAGTGTCTGTGCTGTGTGCTGAATACTTTTTTGCAACAAAGCAAATTTCATGTATATGCGTTTAAAAAAATTATATCAAATAAACCGCTTAATATATATACCTAATTTTTTCAGGAATTATACTTGATGTGTCCTTCTTTCTATTTCTGCAAAAAAAGTTCTGAATTTTTTTTGTTGGGGAGGGGTTTGGCATTATAATATATGACTTTTCAAACAACTACCGGTAGTCAACAACCAAATTCCGCTGTGTGAATTATTGAAATTTATTCTAATTTAAAAATTTGTTCCACAGTAATATTAGAAGATCTCACTCTTGAATATATCATTTGATTTAAGCAGATTTATTATAATAAAATACAGCCTATAATGCTGCAAATAAAGTGCAAACTTACTACAGAGTACACCCAGTACAGGTATATGCTTGCTCCTCGCCCAACAGCAAACTTTGAAGTGTTTACATCTCTAAGGACGGCGCCCGTAGCTATGCTTCAAAAATCTAAAAATTCTCAGAAGATGGAGCCACAGTGTCATACGATCGATTGGTGTACTTAAACATTCTGTATGTGTTTGCATTCGAACGCTACAGAGTCCTGTTGTGACCATGGCAACAAACACCGGTTCCTGCATATCAAGTCATGCACGATGTCCCAGCCACGGCCGAGACCTGCAGTGAAAGGGTTAATACGGCATGCTCTCGCAGCAAAATGCATCTAGATATGCCTACTGTGAGCTGGTCTATATTGCAAAAATTCACTACAACTCTATTGTATTGGCTATTGCTACTTTCATAACATTTCTTCAGCAAACCTGAACAGTCTTACGAAACTAGTACTTTCAATGTTTAGGCCTACTCGGTGTTTACACATCTGGGACATAGCCGAGCAATTGCAGTTTTCATTACTTAAGGTTACTCCCCATGTTTTTGGCAAAATTTTACCGATTTTTCATTTTCAACCTTATTCGATGGCTAACATTGTCACTATGTTCCACCTCTGTACATACTCATTTCTCCATATAACGATACATGTGAACTTTCAGAGCGTTTTGATTGCCACTGATGACGTCAGAGACATGATAGTTGATACAACCATCATATTCACTAAGCCAGTATCATTCAGCATCAACCCTCCTACAGCTGTCATCTGCCAGTGATAGTTGAAATTGCCCCACGACCCAAAATAGCGCTATTCCCTTTGTAACACACCCTGCATTCAGGCGCGCGTTTGTTGACACATAGATTAGTAACGGCATGCAATACATATCGTACTGGCATTTTGCATGAAAGTGCGATGGTGACCTCGTAATTTCTCACAATTTCTCAAAGTGCATAGAACATTTTACCAATTTAGTGGTGTCAGTTATGGATATGTCACAGTAAGTACTAACACTAGTAACACTAACAGTAGATGTTTCACATACGTTCACCCGTTTTGTACACAGGCAGTCGATCATTGTGGAAAATAGAAAAATGCTGATTTCTCCGTTTTGATTTCTGCCAAATGTAGTAGCCAATGTATAAATGGATATTTCTCTGTGATTATACAACTCGGAATAATTTAATTTTACACTCGTTTTAACGGGAACAAATTGCTTTGAAAAAGCGCTTCAGCGGTTGTTATTAAGTGCCTTATTTTATGAGTTATTCATTACTCTTTATTCCCAAAAATTTTCAATTCTAACACAACTTGATTTTTAAGTAGTTTTTTTATTTTTCTTAGTAAATATGAAACTTAAAGAAAAATCCTAATGCACTATTTTGGTACATATTGTGCTTAACTTGTGACGCAAATCTTGATTCCTCACTCTGTGGTAATTGAGAAATATCCAAAATACCATTTTTACATAAAAATTTGAAATTTGTGTAGTACCATAATTAGGTGCTGGAAATTTCATGAAATTTTTTGGCTTGAGCATAGAGATACATCTCATCTATAAATAAAACGTGTGATTCGATTCATTCGTCAATAAACGTCTACGCTTCATTAGAGCAATACCCGTGCAAAAGGTGGAGAGTTTTTTTTTCTATGATAGAACAAGTTATAATTCATTATTTGATGTTTGTTCAGTACAAAATTGTGAAATTTGTTTAAATCGTATGTTATTTATATTACTTATGCAATCAGCAAATAAATATATATTGTGTTTTCTTTCTAGGAACTATTTGTGCTAGCGTAGGCTTACTGTTAGCGTTCTCAGTCGCATCGCTCTGTGTATCTGTACGGCGAAACCTCGTCCGGTGAAGTTTCAAAATAGCATGAAAATAGTCAACTTCGGAGCACATTTCTGGCTCAATAAGAACATTTCATGATGTTTGTATATTGCAAGTATGCTCACAGTAGGCGTATGTAGGCTTATTGTTGAAAGATTCATCTACTTTAATGAAGCATATTTGTAACTCTCGATCATTTGAACCTGATCATTTCTTTCGACATCTAATATCTATTGTCTTCAAAGTGATATCTTTAAGTTTAACTGCTATGTTTCTGTCGTTCCATGTTGGAACTCTCTTCCTTCTTCGGTTAATTGTAAAATTAGAACTATACTGCACTCTGCAGTCTTGATCTATCGATTTGATCAACTTTGTCTCTCTGTCTTCAGCATAGAGAAGAAGTGAGCCTTGTATGTGGCGGCACCCGCCAGTGAGAAACTGTAAATCTTTTCACTAGTCCACTAGGCTAGTAGCCCAGTAGGGCACCCGAAAATTAATTAATTAAAGCTCATAGTTCCTTAGATTTTGCAGACTAATCATTATTATGTTACAAACCTGACAGAGCTGTCTCGTAAGCAGAGACTATCGATGAGTTTTAACTTTAAGTAGTATACAATTTCGCAATGTGAGATCGAGTAACAGGAAAACATGCCCTATTCTTTACGATACTCTAGTCCATAAACAAGAGGTCAGCCCTCAAATGGCACCATGTTCTGCCTACCCGGGAATGACGATACCAAAAGCAAAAGGATCAGTCATGGGATATTTCAGTTACGATTAGTTGATGCTGTCGCATGCTTGGCTTGGCTTTTGAGTAATCTGCATTCTTTAACAATGGGGGCTAGATTCCTAGTACCATTGCACATTTCTAAACTTGCATGTGGCGTGGCTACTATGTTCCTCTGCGATTGTTGCAGTTGCCGACAGAGGAGGAGGAGGCTGGCGAGGGAACTCTGCTAGTTGCTCAGGATGAGCATCAGCAGCAGCAGTGTGACCCTCCTCCCGTCGTCCTGACGTTCTTCGTTCCGCCGAGCAATATTCACTCTACAAGGCTCACGCAGGGACAGCAGGAGGAGACGATTCCCGCCGTTGGTACGTCACCATGCTAGTGATGATGCTTTCATTTAGAAGAACTATATGAGTGAATTACTGTAGAGAAACTAGTTGCAGTAATGTCAACCTGGACACGAGTCTTTTAAAAAGTCTTCTGACAAGATTTTATTAAGCTAAGGTTACATAGTAATTAGATTTAGATTTTGTTTAGATTTTGAAATTTATTTACGCTATCAAAATTTACATGTGTTACATAAATGTTACGATTTTTAAATAAATGCAGCAAGGGAGGGCGAATTGACTATACAAGTCTTGGAGTCAGCCACTCCGCAATATAAGGTTAATTTCTGAAAGTTAAACCATGAAAGACAATACGATAGATAATTACAAAATGATATATGAGCGATGTATAAAAATAAATAAACTATAATTAAACTACATTCAAATGAACCTAAGTCTACATGAACCTGATTTCAGGAATACAAATAAACATATGCAGGTACCAAATATATATAGATGTTAACAGAACAAGAAAAAAAGACGCTCATAGAAGCAAAGCTCAGCAGAAACAAGCCAAAAGAAAAGAATTTAAATACATATAAACTGAGAAAATAATCACTGATCTTGTACAGCATAACAAAATTATAGAAGGCAGAATCAGGAGTAAATCCTGTAAATTCAGCCAATTGGCAAAATTATACTAAAATTGTAGTAGCAAAATAATAGAGCCATTTACTGATTATAATACTGTGGGAGACACACCTGGGACAGTATTTTTCAATTCAATAATTACAGAAATAAACAAAAAGTAGAATTTAAATACATATAAACTTGGAAAATTATCACTGATCTTTGTGCTGCATGATGTACGATAACTGTACACAATATCAAAATGAAAATCGTAATGAAGTCATTATTGTCCAAGCTGGTCATTGTATTTCAAGAATTCTAGAACATGTGCCATTATAATTTGAGATAAAGAATCAACATAAAAAATTCAGTTCAACCCCAGGTATACACACCTTTTAAGCTTGAACATTGAAACTCAAAAGTCCATTGCTCAAATCTATTCTCGTTATTAGTCATTCAGTAATTAGTCGCAAAACAATCACACAGGACATGATTTCCATCTTCGGCAATGAATGATTGTGTCGAAGTGTTGTTAGCTTGTGCTTGTGTTTGATTGTCGCGTCGTCGTGTGTTCACAGGCGATGATGTGCAGCCTCCGCCAGAAGCGATGGCGCCACCAGAGTACGACGTCGCAACGACACTGCCATCTTACGAGGATGTCCAGAAGGAGAAGGAGATGGAGGCCTTGCATGGCCCACAGATGGTAGGTGGTGTGTCCGGTGTCTCCTTTGTAACATTAAAGATGTAGGCGCAGGCCGTTGTATGTTTTTATATAGTAACTGTTAGGTACGAGCAGATACCCTGGTGTTTTCATGATGATCTTTTTGACCTGTGCAGGATGGATGTCAGGATGCAGATTTGCAGCTTGGTTCAGATGCACTCCTTGGAACAGACCTGATGTTCTTCTTTACCTTTATGTGTGAGTAAATGAACGTCTACATGTTTGTATGTTGTAGGGCTAGTATGTTAGTACCATTACAAAATCAGGGTTCGACACTAACGCTAGTCCGTTAGTCCGAGACTAGTAAAAAATCAGAAGGACTAGTAGATTCCCATAGCAGTTAGTCCGGCGGGACTAGTTATATTTTCCCCGTCCCTCACCGTCCCAATTTCCCATCGATTTTACCGGCGGCAGCGTCTCTCATCCAAGATCCAAAGAGCTATATATAACTCGTCCAAATTAACAAGTTTTCCCTGTTAGACGCGCTAGTCCAAGTAGAGTAGACGCTAGCACGCTCTGCACACTCCAAGCATGCTAGAGCCCTACTGCATGCAAACATTGTAAACAATGGGTCTCCAACTCTACCCAGTCTAACGCGATTGATCGCTTGACATAGTGTTACATAGAACAAACGGTTCTGATGTAGAAATGACGCACTAATCATTATAGGCTCGTTCAAGGAGGTATTCACATCGCAACGCCAATCCGCATGCGTGTGTTACTTGAAGGCAGTGCTATACCAATAGTAGTGAAGCTAATAGTAGAGTACATCGCTTATCCAATAGTAAGATTATCTAACATCAAGGTTTTATGTGAAAGTAATTTGACGGCGTCTCCTCTTCCACCTCCAACACAAACGTAAGATCGGAGGATGAAGAAATTAGATGGCAGCGTGTCTATGATAAGACGAAAAGGATCGTGGCGTTCATCAGCGTGAATCGGTACCGTGGCTAGAGATGACCAGCCCAGGGTATCACTATGACTGTGGTGCAAGGCTGTATTGTCTGTAGTTTGTTCACCGCACTAGAAACTATCGTTTGGAACTGTTAAGCGCATGATGCTTTCCGGAGGCACAGAATAGATCCCTAGCAAAAAGAAATGGCAAGACCATGCCCTGTTCGGCGAACACAAGTGGGGCCCAAGTGACCCAGAACTGAGATTGAAATGGTGTGATGGCGGATCAAGACGGTGATGAAAGTGCACACGCACGTGTACGTGCACACGCACGCACACACGTGTACGTGCACGCACGCGCACACGCACGGACGTGCACACGCACTCACGCACGTGTACGTGCACACGCACCCACGCACACGCGCACGTGTACGTGCACACGCACCCACGCACGCGCGCACGTGTACGTGCACATGCACGCACGCACTCACGTGTACGTGCCCACGCACGCACGTGTACGTGCACACGCATGCGCGCACACACGTGTACGTGCCCACGTACGTGTACATGCACATGCAGGCACGTGTACGTGCACACATGTGCATGCACGTACGCACATGTACGTGCATACGCACGCACGTGTACGTGCACACGTACACACACACACACACGTGTACGTGCCTATGCACGCACGCACGTGTACGTACGCACGCACGTGTACGTGCACACGCACGGACGCACGTGTACGTGCACACGCACGCACGCACACACGTGTACGTACACACGCACGCACACACGTGTACTTGCCTATGCGCGCACGCACGTGTACGTGCACACGCACGCACGCAACCACGTGTACGTGCACACGTCACGTGATTGTCCCTCCACGCCCGGGGGATAGCAACACCCATACCGGACAGTGCACGCGCGCCATCTATCCAGCGATTAGTAAATGGCGAACCCCATTAGAAATGCACATGCTATTGGAAAAAACGGCAGGTCCTACACCGATTACGTCAAGCTGTGCCAGCTTGACAAGGCCAAGGGGTTAGATGTCGGCAGCACTTACCTCACTGACAATTAGGCCTGCCAGAGGTTCATTACGGCGATAGCCGATACAAGGCGCCGGGAACAGTTTGTAGCTATAAATGAGGCCAAATTCCTTGCTGTGATAAGTGACGGATCCACAGATTCCTCATCAAAGGAGGCCGAAATTTTATTTTCGAATTAAAATTTTTTTTAATTTTAATTTTAATCTTATGATCCATATCAAAGTTACATGTATTTTATACAATTGAATGTCTTTTACAAAACCTTCCTGGGGACACTCCTTGTACCCTGGGAGAGACCCCCTGTACCCCCTAGCAGAAGGGGGGCTCCACCCTCCTACCCCACCTACCTCCTGGCAAATCACAATTCTCGTCGCTCTGCGCCTAGTAAGAGTCCTTCGGCAGGACTAGTAGAATCTCGGAAGGACTAGTACATTTTTTCTTTTACTAGTCCTGTGGACTAATGAACTAAAATGGTTAGTGTCTAACCCTGAAAATTGAGCCATTTCTTATAGCACCTGTTGAGTTTCATGATTTTCACATGTTACCAATTATATTAACAATTTTCACCTATTGCATGTGTTAACATTTTTGTGATACACCCTCCGTTAAGTGACATGTATTGCCTATAATACACACACTGAATGTAGCATGAAATTCAGATTTTTTGCACCGGCCCAGAGTGCTGGCAACAGCAGTTTTTTTACCAGCCCTCACAAATTATTTTTTTTTTAAAGTAAAGATAAGACTTTCACTGACTTTTGCTTGTCCGAAAAATGTTGTAGTGTGCGGCATCGCGCAGTAGCTGTTGAACAGACTATAATGCAGATCGTGAATGATGTCCGAAGTGTTTTTGTCAATGTCATGTTTCACGCTTGCATTCTCGATTTTATATTTGTAAAATGTTGATAAATTATGGCGTGATATCTTCAGGTAAAACAGTAATGTAGGCTATTTGCTCATTAATGCTATAAATAAAAATGTAGGTACTCGCTAACACGGCTGAAACCACCGGCTCGGAGCGCCGGTGTTTTGCCAAAGTTACTGGCCATCCAAATAATTTACTGGCATATGCCGGTGGGCCAGTGCTAATTTCGCGCCCTGATATTCATGCAACATTATGTTAAAAATATTATGTATACCCCATTATAGTGTGGCATCTCTGTTTTTAACATAATGTAATATTCATACACTCTGTTACAGTGACATCACTGTTTAACACAACATAGTATTCATACACTCTGTTACAGTGACATCACTGTTTAACACAACATAGTATTCATACACTCTGTTACAGTGACATCACTGTTTAACACAACATAGTATTCATACACTCTGTTACAGTGACATCACTGTTTAACACAACATAGTATTCATACACTCTGTTACAGTGGTGTATCCATTTTATGAGACATAACATTCATACACTGTTACACTGGCATGTCCGTTTTATGCGACATAATGTTCTTACACTTTGTTACAGTGGCATGCCCTTTTAATGCGACGTAAATATTCGTAAACACTGTTACAGTAACGTGTCTTTATAACATGACATAACATTAAAGTAATTATTTTAAAGTAAACAGTCTTCAAATATTCTTCCTGGCCGTTCTCGTAATGACTAGTATTGATTGCGTAGCAGCATGTGGCTAAAGTGAGGCTAATATATCATAGAACACCCGTGCATCATTATTTACACAAAAGTATGCAACGGTTGAAATCTGTTTGTTTGTATTGTGTCGATGGGGTTACACAATGATGCCGCTCGTTTCTCGTGAGACCCTATCCCTGTACTTTTACATGTTAACTTGGATTAAGCACGAGATGTTATGCTTGTCTAGAATCACTACATCACTTAATGAGATGCACTTTTGTCTGGTGGCTGCCAATTGCAAGGGAATTGTCTCTAAACAAAGGAATGTGGCTGATTTATTTGCTATTTTATATAACATAACAGCATTAACTCGTGGTAAATTTTATGCTGAAGTCATCAATAACATGTTCGCTATTAGGTGAGGATATATTTCGCTATATTTTTCTCAATTGTGCAGTTATTTATGAAATAATTCCTTTAATGCACTCTGTTACAGTGGCATTCCTCTTCAACTGGATCGGCTTGCTGTTCTCGCTGTGCATTTCACAGACAATCGCTGGTCGCTATGGCGCCCTCGCTGGCTTCGGTCTCTCGCTTATCAAGTGGACCCTTATTGTGAAGGTATCCGTCAATTCATCAACGCTAGTAATAGAAACGCGTATAATGGTGCGGGGGGGGGGGGGGACGGTGGTAAATATTTGTTGACTTCGAGCCGAGATATGATGCATTGTCGGTCAAGGCATCATTTGTGGTTGTAACAAGTATTGGCTTGTTCGATAATTATGAGGTGAATGGTAATTAAGAACCCTGTTGTTGGTGGCTATTGCTCATGCTTGCATGCTGCTAGGTGAAATAGTAGAATCCATGATAAAGTCACACCTGTGTAAGCTGTCACCTGTATAGAACAGATTCCCGACTATGACGGACAGTAGTGATTTTCCTTGACTGACCTTTATCTGCAGGTTTAGTTGTGTGACCTTTGACCTTTGCTATCTGATATTGATTAACCATGTAGGGCCGTAGGCTGAGCAAATTCCTAGGGAGGGGCAAAATTTCATGATTCAACTCTGTAACGATGAGCCACGGGCGTAGCCCTTGATCGATGTCCATAGTGTGGCGGTAGGGATGGGTCTGAGACAAGGTTTTCGCGAATAAGTGACCAAAAAAATAACGTTAGGGTTATTTACGATTATTAGCTATGCTTATTTTTTAATTTTGCTGTAAAAGGGGGCAGCTACCCCCTCCCCCCCCCAGAGGCTACGGCCCTGCCATTGTTTCTGATTGTGACACAAGTCGCGGGTTTTTATGACATTTTCGCTGTATTGCAGCACTCAACGGATCTTGTCAGTGGCAACTACTGGGTCTGGTGGCTGATGATGGTCTGTGGTAAGTTTCCAGACACGTTACAGATAGACCATGTTGTCTGCTGGACAGTGCTGCCACCTGTAGAGACGAAAGGCAGTAGGCGTGGATTGTGCTACCATCTGTTGTCAGAAATTAAATTGCAGTGAATTCGATCCAGTGGTCTTGATTACAATACTCGTTTATCTCATCTTAGCAATAGAATTGTGGGGGAAAGGTGTTAATGAGTGCAGTACGCTGAAAATTGTTCTGCTTGTCTTCTGTTATCTGTATGTATTAATTAATAACTTGATGTGGTAGTGAAGGATGCTTTACAGACTGTACGCATGACGATCACTGATGCATATATTGCAGGCTTCATCATCTTCTTCCGTGGTTGCACCCAGTATCTGCGGGTGAAGCAGCAGTGGGCCAGGCTGACAGCGAACGCTCGTGAACAGTACATCTTCTTCTACTGAGAACTGCTGAATGGCAGACATTCTAAGCACCCGAAGGGTTATGGTTTTTCGGGGCGAGGGTTTTTCCGTGGTGAACAGTGGTGTCGGTGCATGGGAATTGGTTACTAGTAAAGGCTCTCTGTAGATGGTGTAATTTAACTGGGTTATTCAGTCGTGTTGCTACTACATCGGTCACTATCTCTCACCCTCTCCCTCTCCTCTCTCCTTTCTCCCTTGCCCTCTTCCTCTCCTCTCTTCCTCTCCCTCTCTCTCTTCCTCTTCTCTCTCTTTCCTTTTCTCTCTGTCTCTCTCCCACTCCTTCCTGTTTACTCTGTCTTTCTCTCTCCCTTCTCTCTCTCTCTTTCTCTCTCTCTCTCTGTTTCCTAGTTGTAAATTTTCAACAAAAAAGTGCCATTCTTATGTCTAATGTGGCAATGTTTGAAGACCTTTACCTAAATGGGATTTGGAAGGAGTGTGTTGTTTTGCCGTGTAAGGTTAGCAGTATGCATACGTTGGTCGTGAAGCTTCTTTTTAGAGGGAAGTGTGTAGCAGCGATATATTTTAATAGTTTCGGACTGATTTACACAAACGCTTCAGTATTAGGCAGTCGTGTGGCCATGGGTATGTGTGCTTGAGTGTTGTTCGTTTTTGTATAATCGAGTGCATCAAACCTTGGAGCAAAATTACTGGCAGTAAGTGGAGTTTTATGTATTTGATGGAATGGAATTGTGCTGTATAAACTTTCGAGTATGATCTATTCGTTAATGTTATTACACTTCCGCCAAATTTTTGTAATCATGCGTGCGTGGAGATTCTTCTATGATGATGTAGCTAATCTTTGTTGAACGCTTTGTAAACTGTTGCGACCTATACGCAGTCTAGCTTTCGAAATCTTATCCTTCTCGTCTCTCCATCTATAGGTTCCTGATTCCTTGTCTTAGTCGGGCTGTCTTTCGTATGTTATCTGGCTGGAATGAAAGCGCCGTTTGTGTGTAGTTGATGAGCGGTGTCGAATTGTTGGTGATGGCATCGGCCTTCGCTAGGTGTCACTACATGGCTTTTCGTCCTCGTTCATCAAAAATGTTGCGGGAGGTGAGTGGCACGTGTCAGCTCAAATTTGAATGGACGTTTCTGTCGATGTGTTAATTGTCTTTCAGGAGATCATGATTACTATTGTGTGCTCGTCATACGTAGATATAGTCTTTCTCTCTCTCTCTCCACGCCTCTGTCCGTATATAATAGATACTATTCATTGTTTTGTGGTCGTGGGAATCGCATTCTCAGCGGCGTTGGAGAAGTCTTTCGTGTATATTTATAGTCTACTGCAGTAATTTCCCTCGGTTTGCATATCAGTGTTAGACGCGTCACCTCCGATTGGAAGGCAGGGTGGTGGCGATTGCATTTTTAATTGACGTAGGAATTTTCCTCTAGGAATAGGACGCGATGTTATCACATAATCAGGTGTCGGGTGCGAATTAAATTATAGCCATATCACAGGGATGAATTTTCTTTCAGGTGTGTAGCTGATATATTTTTATTGGCGTTATAGAATTATACAAATGTTTCATGTGAAAAATGACGTATATTATTCAATGTTTTTAGCGACGACTTCAAATGAAATTGTTTAAATAATAAATATCGTCGATTTGTTCAGAAACGATGTCAGGATTTCGTTATTTGTTGCGTGGTAGGTTTCTCATTGGAATGTGTTTATTAACATTTATTTATTCTCACTTTATTAGAACCCGAGAATACCAAGTAGAAAATAAGTAGGAAGAAACTAGTGAGGGTAGTAATCATTTTACTGTCAAATGTAAAATTTGCGTGAAATGATGTCACTATGAGGACATTAAATTAGGAATGGTAGAACATGGACTGGTTTCCTACACATGAATATACGCACGCACGCACATACACGCACACAAACGCGCGAGCGCGCGCGCGCACACACACACACACACACACGATACCTCTACTTACAGTGTCTAATTAAAATATCACAAGAGAACCTAACTAAAGAGAAATTTTTCACCACCAATATAATAGCTCCATCAGTTACCACGATATATCGCACAAACGCGACATCTGCATTACATATAATCAAGAGTCCATAATAGATATCTTCTATTATGGACTCTAGATATAATATAGGAGTTTGCTTGACAAGTCATACGTAGACTCGTGTTAGATTAACAGCTCATCTAACGAGCTTGTACACCCGATATAATAATCTTTAAGAGAGAGAAAGAGGGGAGCGATTGAAAGAGAGATGGGAAGAGGTGGGGGGATTCATGATTGAAATGTTTACGGAGTTAAAACTTCAACTATAAACCATCTTGCGGGTAAATGCACGCTGTCAGGCAGAGTGCAGATGTAGAGAGAGAGAGAGAGCAAGCGAGAAATAGATAAAGATAGACAGGCAGAAAAGCGGCCAGGCGGGCAGAGAGAGAGAGAAAGGGGGGGCATGAGAAAGATAGGGGGACAGGAAAAAGAAGAAAAGAAAGAAAGAAAGAGGTGTAGAGAAAGAAAGACAGAAAGAGCGTGGCGAGCAGAGTAGTACAGCCATTCGCTCCGACCTGCCCCGCCACGTCTGCCTCCAGCCTGGTTCTAATTACCACGGTAACGGGATGCAGATGGCTCCTGTCCCACATCCTCATCTTCCGTCGCTAATGATGGTTCGGAGGCTGAGAGTTGGCCGAGGAGTTGTCGGGATGCTGTGCTCAGTGAAGGGATGCAGCCAAGGTCGATTCTCTGCATCTTCTCGGCATATTCTAACCTTCGCTATAGCAACGGATAGATAGCTGGAGAGCTGTGTATGCGTAATTTATGACGGGCAGGTGGGGTTTTATTTGGTATAATTCATGTATGCGATATTACCGTTGTTGCCGTGTTCGCAAGCGTGCTCTGTGCTAATGTTTCCACGTGCCTGTCTTTTTGCCTCCTTCACTGCATGTGCGTTGTCGGCGACCACACTACCATCGAGTGGCCATTGTGTATCCACCGATGTGTGCCGGCTCCTTCCAACGCATATCTGCTTGCCTGCCTTCCTTCCTTCCTTTCTGTCTGCCTGCCTGCCTGCCTACGGGCATCTCTGCCTGCCTGCCTGTCTGCTTACCTACCTGCTTGCCTGCCTTCTCCTCCACTGTCTCTCTGCACGCTTGTCTGCTACCTCCACAGGAAAACTACTCATACCAAATACTGGCCTAATGAAGCCAGAACATCAGGCATATCAGCGTGTCTCCCTTCTCACCCTGGCCCATTGAAGCACGAGGCATCTCAGCATGTCTCCCTTCTTACCCTGGCTCATTGACGCACGAGGCATCTCAGCATGTCTTCCTTCTCATTTTGGTCTACACAAACCAACACGAGGCTTCCTAGAATCCTTGCCTCTTCACCCTGGCCTACTAAAGCCAGCACGCGGCTTCTTAGCATCCATACCGTCTAATCCTGGCCTACTGAAATGAACAGGAGGCGTCCTAACATCCCTGCCTCCTCACCATGGCCTACTGAAGCCAACATGCGTCTTCCAGCATCTCTGCTGTGACCTGTCCTGTGATCTCCTCCTCGTCGGCATCTCTGCCAGTTTAAGGCCCATATTTTTAGCAGTTAACCTTTCTCTCAAGGTTGTTAGCCTGAGTCGCACAGGGCTGCTGTCTGAGGGTGAGGTGCGTCAGGCTGGTTGGCTGGCCGTGTACAACCATCTCTACACAAGCCTCCTAGCCTCTTAATGAGACTCCTAAACTTGATATCCGGACGATGATATCCAAGAGCCACACGCGCGCGCGCCCACGCACACACGCACGCACGCGCACACACACACACACACACACACACACACACACACATACATAATAATAATATAATATAATATAACGTAGGTTACACGACTCATCGGATCTTACGCATTCAAGCAAACATCTTAAGAATACATATCAAAACCCTGTGAGGATATCTATGCTTTGTATAATATATGGCGCGGATTAATTATACGACTAAATCATTAGTTAGCGGCCAGATGTCGAGCGTTTTAGGAAGCTGGATAGTATGTGTTGTTAGCTGGTAACGGAACCCCGGGATAGTGCCCTAAAGTTATACCTAGCTCTACGTTTAACCCCGCATTGCTTTATGATATACGGTATTTTGGGAAAGAAGCCTTGCATCGGAGCCGAGTTCATGCACATGTCAGAGGTAAGCTAGATGCCACACGTACAGAGAACATGGTAAAGAGGGGAGAGAGCGAGACTTGAGGTACGTCGAAAAGAAAGCCAAAGACAAAGATTTGATTTGCTAAAATGACTTCTTTTGTAAATTAGAGCTCTTGTAAGATGACTCGCAATGAACCCGGTTGCGATCATAGCGCTCTCGCTCCCAATCTCTCTCTCTCGCTCTCTCTCTCGCTCTCTCTCTCGCTCTCTCTCTCTCTCTCTCTCTCTCTCTCTCTCTCTCTCTCTCCTCTGCTCTGCTCTCTCGTCTCTCCTCTCTCTCCTCTCTCTCCTCTCTTCTCTCTCTCTCTCTCTCATTCTCTCTCTCTCGCTCGCGCTCTCTCTCGCTTTCTCTCTCTCTCTCTCTCTTTCTCTTTCTCTCTCTCTCGCTTTCTCCCCCTCTCTCTCACGGTTGTATTTTAAGCACGTTTAGCTCAGCTCTTGTTGTCTATCATTGATAAGCCGCCCAGATCTAACATACCCCGCCAGTGCCTTGTCCTTATATTATTCTCCTTTACAAATCCTGCCTCAGCGCGACCACAGATGGAGGTATACACTACGCGCGCACGCATGCGAGCGAACTGAACTGTTTGCCATACTATAAGTGTCGGTCTTTATATCTAAGTGCAATATTTCCTGTTCTTTGTGGCAGTTATTAGCAAACTGGGCTCCACATGGACCAGCGCGAAGAGTGAAGCGAAGGACCAGGCTAGGCCGGTCCGACGACGGCACGGCTCGATCGCTCAGGGTACTGTACCACTTGACTGACCAATTTCTACCCTGGTGCTACCGAGCTCTAGCAACGCGATTATTACGATTTATTAAAGGGGCTGTAAACCCGCTCTATCAAAGTCATAGAACCAGTCAAAATTCTACGCATTTACATTTGCATCCTAAAACCCTCTAAATGCTCACTTTTCTGTTTCAAACCGAGTTTTTGCAGTGAAAGTGAGCGTTTACTACTTTGTACAAATTCCTCGCGGCTGTTTAGTACTAATTAGTGTGATCATAGATTAGATCGAGAGATCAACCGACAGCCAGTCTATAGGTGACGCTGTCATGTACAATGTAGCGAACTACCAACAAAAAGCGTTTTCGTCTATGATTTACGTTACTCTTAGGAAGCTCGGAGCTACGACGTCTTCCGACCTCTCGCACCACAGCCACGTCAACTCTCTCCCTCCACTCCCACATGCACACCCAGCACATACCGGGTAGTCTGAGCTTGTGGCTGTTGTGCGTGCGTGCGTGCGTGCGTGCGGGAGTGCAGGGATACATACATACGTTGTAAATAGCAGCAGCCGGCTGCTCGCAGCGTTTACGGGTAAGCTCGGGTTGGCAGGCAGGCTTCCTTCATCCTGTAAGCTGAGAGGCAGGACGAGAGAGAGAGGGAATGCTAGCGATGTTAATTAATGAAAGATTCTCATGTAGATATCGGCGGTTGCTAAGACAAGCACGCATAAACACACGTACGCGGGCAGGCAGGCATGCACGGGGGTGGGGTCGGGTGCAACGCACACTCACTAACTTACTGCTAGTAGAAATAACAACGCGTTGTCAGCATAACCTTGCTAAGTAAAGGTCGATGTGGAAGGTTGTGGAGTGAGGGACATTGGTTATTGAAGGTGTCATTCAAGGCCGAAGGGCAGTGGTGGTCTATGAGAGCCAATACATTGTTCGCTATTCTATATTACGTTATATATTTCGTTATATATTTCGTACTGTATTTCGTTATATATTTTGTAATATATTTCGTTAGGCTTATAGGGTTTGTGCTACACGAAAGTTAGGGTTAGTTATGTTTATTAACGGGGTTAAGGCTACAGGGTTGCGGTTTGAGGTTGGGACTGGGATTATTGCTATCTACTCCTTCAACTAACTAATATGCTCGCCCTAACATGTTGCGTGGGTGTGTGAGTGATGTTGCGTGGGTGTGTGGATGATGTTACGTGGGTGTGTGGGTGATGTTGCGTGGGTGTGTGGGTGATGTTGCGTGGGTGTGTGGATGATGTTGCGTGGGTGTGTGGGTGATGTTGCGTGGGTGTGTGAGTGATGTTGCGTGGGTGTGTGAATGATGTTGCGTGGGCGTGTGAATGATATTGAGCGGGTGTGTAGATCGTCGTGCAGACAGCAAGCCATCGTTAACGACGTCATCGCTCATCGATGCTGTCGCACTGTTTCGGGGGCATGTTGTGGGCGCAGTGCAGCTTTGGGGGATATGTCTACATTATCCAACTCTGGGAGATGTGTACGTTGCTCAGCGAATCAATACTCGTCATAGCGCGTTATCAACCGCTAGGTCGGTGCATTAGCATCTATAGCACCGCCCCCTAGCGGATTCATGCCGTACATTAACCTGCGAAATACCCTGGTTTAGCGAGATCGTAATGCGGCAGTTTCTCCTATCAGACGAGATGGTGTCAATTCGCAGGGAACGAAGTTATTGGCTGGTTCGCAT